CTTCCCACATCTTCCATTAATTACTATTTTATCATTGCACTTTGATACTATCTAGATGCACTAACATGATCCTGTAGCCTGTCGGGAAACTGCCTTGTCGACCAGTCGTTCTTCCGATTGCCTATTTTACCTCTTTTTGGCTTGCCCAAGTGACCCGTTACTAACCGGAACTCTCCCCATCCTATTATACTCCCTCCAGTCCATTCCTAGCTCCCCCCATATCTTGCTCCTTCTGTCTGCCAAACAGGACCTGGGGGCTTCTCTAACTGACGAGCCTACCAACAACAGCTTCGAATGGACCTCCAGCTTCCCGTCGGTAGTGCAGACCAACGGACTGTTTAACCAGCTGGGCAGTACCTGTGAGTTTTTGGTGGACACCAAAAACTCTTTAGGCTGGCTGATGGTGGATGTGGAAGGTGAGTCGGAGGAACCTTGTCTCACAGTTTTTCTGAGGCTGTCTTCAGATCAAATATTCAACATCCTACGATTGTCACTTTCAGCTGTCTGCTTGTTTGTTCCAGGTTCTGATGATTGAATAATAACTTAGCTAAGGGTCCTAGTCATTCTGAGTGGCATAAGGTGAAGAAGGAATGCTAGTTAAATTCTCCCACAATAGGTCTCATGAAATCCGCTCAAAAGGGCACACCATACCACGTTTAAATAAGCAATTTAGAAATTGCCATATTGAAGGGGGAGTACGAGGATGTAGGATGAGTGAATAGCCCAAGACGTAAGAAGAGGTTCCACAACTGTTTAGCAGACCATTGGGCGAAAGATCGACTTCATTTGTCTCTTAGATGAGTTGTAGTGTGGTGCTAAGAATGGCAGCCGAGAATGCCGACTTCGATGCCGGCGAAATGTCTGGGAATGTGTCCGACTGGAAATTATCATGTATACTATGTACCACGGACTAGGTGGATTCCTCTAAGTCTTCCTGCCAATACGACAAAGTTGCGAAAACAAGGTCAAACAACAACTATACGACGATAGGAGACCGCGATCATATAAAAGGCCACACCATCTTGGTCTTCATACATTCATTTAAACATCTTTCTCTATCATTCTTAGTAATTAAGCGCATGTACCTTGAGCTAACTGAGATTATGCCTCTAGTCTCCTCTGCGCAACTTTGGTGGGTTTGTGCTCAATCTGAACCCCCTACTTAGCCTCCTCAATGGGCAATTTATCAAGACGGTTGCGGCTAGTCAACGTTATATTACTCGGCTGACCTTTACCCCCCCTCCCCTCAAATTTCAACGTTGTTTCCTCGGTTTGACTCCATTAGATCTTTTTCTCTTGGCTTTAATTTACCCTTAAGAGCCTCTTCCCTGTGGCGCCTCTTCTATATTGTTCAAGTTGTACCGTTGGTCCATACTTCTTATTTTCCATGGCTTTCTCGAGGAATATGCTCCTTCTCTGCATCCTCTACAATTGCTATGACGTCTTCTTCCAGCATTTGACCGTTAACTGGGCACATCTCATTCGTTTCACCATCATTTTCAATAAATACTCCATCATTTGCAGGAAGCTACAATTCGTCATAGTGACAAAGAAACACAATTCTCTTGACCACTTTTCCGGTTAACAATAAGGGCCTCTTCCCTTCTCCCCTATCCTATCTCTTGGTGCTGTTTACTTATCTCTCAGCCTCACTTTCTATGGCCAATTGTCTTATCTACATCTCTCTAGGCTCAGATCTGCCTCTTCTTCGAAGTTTTCGTCAATCCCTCCATCCAATCTTTTGTTCATTATGTTCTCTTGAATTTTAATATTTTTGGCTCCCCAGATTTTTGGTTTACCTGCATTTTCGCCCTATGTTTCCACCATATTATTTGTACTTCAGTTTTATGGTTTACCATTTCAATGAGTTGTACTGTTTCCGATTTTTCTGTATTCATGCTTCTGCAAAATCCCTGATATTCGATAATTCTTATGTTGATTGTACTCATCGTTGTTCCGATTTATTTATATTCGCAATCTTTGCAGTAATTCCCAATAATCCATTTCCCTGACTGGTATGTGTATTTGTCATAGACTTGTCTCTTTTGTGCTGCCAGTGCCTTCACCTGGTTCGTCTTTTGCTTATGAGAGGACATAATTAGGTTAACTACCGGAAAGACTCTATTATAAGTTTGGGAGTATTAACTTGCTGTCATTCAGAAGATGTAAAGGCCTCTAAATTAGATGTGGTATATCTTTAACAGAGTATATTTAAGATGCCTCTTGTAAAGAGGGAGTTTTCGCAGTCACTAAAGCGGTTACGACCAGCTGGATATTCATTTTTGGAAACTCAATCTTGTCATTAGCTATTTTTAGTGCTCTTTCCTTCTCCCTCTCTCTCTCTCTTGCTTCGCACAGATACTAGCGGCCATTCCATCCCTGTGGCCATCGACCTACTCTCTCCGAGTGACGCCTCTCTGCCGCCGATGGTGAAGTCGGAGGCTTATAAAATCCGATTCACACCAACCCGACTTGGCTACTATCGGGCCACGCTACGATGGAATGGGCAAGACTTGCAAGGCAGCCCATTCACTTGCTGCACCGTCGACGCCAGTCAGGTAGGAGAGCGAGGGAGCTCATTTGTGGCCTTTTCACATGCCTATTCACACTTGGTCCCTCAGAAAACGGCGTGTGGCATAGGCGAGTCGAACCCTCTCCAACTGGTTCATTGTACGTCCGAGCAGCGCAACCTCGGGGTTGAACTGTTATGGGGTCTAAGGCTGTCCATGTGAATTAAATTAAATGCCTAAGAACTTGATCAATCTAAGTCGCATTAGGCGAATCAAGGACTGCTAGTTGAGTTTTACCCCACTGAAATGAGTGGGCATCATGGTCCTTCATAAGTGGTAAAATCACCACCATACTCACGACTCGATATCAAGTCGCGTTGGGGCTTTGGCAAGACCTTGACGGAATCGAAACTGGAGTCCAATCTGAATAGCATGGCTTTTGGGGAAGCAAGGCTAAGTGAAGTGCAATGACATCCTAAGGCCTATTCATCGTATGATTGATATGGAAGGGAATTAGCCAAACCATTATATATCTATATATGCGTATACATTTTCATTTTTAGTTATGAGTATATATAAGAGGTAATATAGAGTGAGTTCCAGCTTTGATAATGTCAACCATAAGATAGACGAAAGCTTAGCCCATTTTCGCCAGAAACGAGGCAGAATGCCTCGTGGATCGCGTCAACATAAACGACGTATTAAGGCCAAACGACTGTAGTAGAATGAGAATCAGCTGTCATCTTTTGTTGAGGTCGATCTACGAATCTCTTCATCATGCAATTTCATACGAAATGAAAGTCTCCCCAATAACGATATTATCACGTTATTTGACCACGCCAATGCAATTCATATCTTCGTGGATTCAAGCTAAACGGCAAACGTGAACCACCGTCGGTGTTTTCATCGTTTCCTCTGATATTCACATCCAGAATATGCCGATCCACAGGCAAGCTGCCAGACATTAAAACACGGAGAGTTATTCGAAGGTATGAAGACCAAGATGGTGTGGCCTTTTATGTGGTCGCAGCCTCCTTTCGTTGTATAAAAGTTGCTTGACCTTGTTTTCGCAACTTGGTCATATTGGTAAGACGACTTTGAGGAACGCACCTAGTCCGGAGTCCATTGTATGCATCATCATTTTCACA